CCGGAGCAATAGCCACAGCGCCGCTGTCAACCAGCCCTTCCCCACACAGCGCCCCTCCTCTCCGCCCTGGCCTCCCTTTGGCGATCCCGGCTGCCCGGAGCACGCTGGGCCGCGGCCGGAGGGGCAGGGGCTGGAAGGTGCTTCATGGGGCACGGAGCAGACCGTGACGGAGGGATGTTAAATATCGGTTAACTGCATAGTCCAGTAACCTCGGGAATTCTGATCGGTTAGTCGACTTTTCTGTAGCCCCCTGCTGGCGGGGCTGGCAGCCCGTGTATCAGAGGCAGCAGCACGGGGTGCCGGGTGGGAGCTGGTCCACAGCAGTGCAGGGCGGCAGCAGCTCCTGTCTGGGGGAGTCTGAAGGCCTGGACCCAGCGCGGGCCAGACCGGAGTCGGGCCGACTGGCTCCTAATGCTCTCTAAATGCAGAGCCGCGGCGGGGGCAGGCCCGGGACCCGGCGTGAGTGAGGACTGAGCCGGGCGGCTGGCCAGCCTGCTCAAACATTTACTGGCAAGGGGCGGGAGGGAAATGTGCGCAGCCCGTGGGTCACGACCCCCAAGGGGTCACAGCTGTCTTCGGGGGGGCCAGCCGCCATTTTCCCCCCGGCTCGGCGTACACACGGTGGGGCAGCGGGGGGGGCAGGTGAGCGGAGAGGCATTTTAAGGGGTCATACTTTTGTTGTTGCTGCTGTTGCTCAGCCAAAGGTTTCCCGGGGGTCGTGCCCCACTGCTCTATAGCATCCACTTAGCAGCCTCTGTTTATCCATTAACCCGCTGCGAGCCCTGGACAGGCTGGAAACCACTGAGCGGGGGCAGGGGAGCTGCGCCCTCACTCCAGGACCGGGGCGGGGACCCTCCCTAGCCCAGGGCTCTTGGAGTGCTCCCACAGCGGCAGTGGCTGCGCGGGGGCGCTCGGCCCTTCTCCTCCCTGGGGCAGGGCCGCCCGCCCGCCCATGACACACTCAGCTCCTGACGTCAGGCAGGCCCAAGTCCACTTGGCGTTCCTGGGGAGGCGAGCGGCTTGTGAAAGCTCTGCCAGGGATTTGCCCATGGCCTGGCCGCGTCACGGTGCTGCGGCCCGGGGAGGTTCCAAGAAGCGCGAGGCATTCACAGGGCTTCCCGGACTGCGACTCAGCGGCTGATTGCAGCACCGCAGAGTCCTGAGGCAAAAGGGAAGAGGCCCTGAGCAGAGGGGAAGGAAGCACCAGGGGCTCTTTGGGAGGCCAAGAAATCCCAGGCGGTTACCGCAAGGTGCGGGCAGGGGCCAAGGGGGGCACGCAGACAGGCCCCGGCCTTCACACAAGCCTTGGCTTCCCTGGGAGCCTCCCCCCCTTTGCGCCTTGAGGCCCTGGGGCTCCCCTAGGGATGTGCCCAGGAGCCCCTCTCCTGGCTGTTGGGGGCTGCACTGCCAGGGAGACGGGCAGCCTGCTGGGGCCACTGGTGGGCCCCAAGGAGCTCTGCTGGGCTGCAGCACCGTGGCCCTGCCCGGCGCTTGCTCTGGAGCCTGCTGGCCCGTGGGGAGCCCGGCGAGGGCCCCGGAGCGGAGCCGCTCTTTTTGGCCACGCCC